TTCAATTTTTTTGTATTTTTATTTTTTCGTGCTTTAAAGTTTTCTATTTGAAAAATCTTTTGAGATAATCATATATTAACAACTACATATTCAAAGAATTTTAAAAATAATCAAATCATCCCCTATTGGTTAGTCTTGGGACAATTCTATAAGATCTAACAACATACACAAATTAACTTTCAAGAACTTCAAAAAGTTTTAATATGGTTGGGGATTATAGATAGTGAGGAACTTATCAATGAGATGTACTTTGTGGGAAACACAGAGGACACATAATACTTCAATCGCATGTTAAACGCTATAAAAACTACTAAGCACAAGGCATTTGACTGGTTGGTGCAAGTAATATGTCTAAATGGTCCTCTTATTCGATAAAAGGCTACCAGTATAACATAATGACCACAAATTCATCAAAATGTTTTAAAGGTGTACTTAGGTGGGCTTGTGGGATGCCAATTTAAGGTTTGCTAATGGCCCTCTACTACAACCTCGTGTCCTTATTCCTAAGCGTTCTATAGAAGCATTAAGAAGGGTAGAGCAAAGCCACTCAAACTTTTTTCATACATGATAATTCTACTACAACGATTTAAATGTGAAGCATGTTGATGTCCCAAGCCAACTATGATAAATAGTAAAGAATTTCAAGTTCTCAATATGTCATGTCGCACTCACAAAGTAGAGATAATAAGCTCTTGCATGTGCACATACAATAAGCCATAGTTATGTGATGGATCATATGTGCATGTTCTTGTAGTAGCGGGGTGCAAGGCGATGGGATAATAATACATTTGTATCTCCCTACTTCATGGTTCACTTCTATAAGGTTACATACTCTAAATTATTCCATGTTATTCCACCGAAAAGACATATAACATGACTTCAATGATGACTACAAAATAATCCCTTTACTTGCCCGTACATTCAGGAGTCGTGTTGGTTGACCTCGATCAAATTGATTATGTAATACTATGGATGAACCTTCATCATCATCACATAGGGGGTGTGATTTTTGCAAACAAGTAGGGCACAACAGGGCTACTTGTCCACTTAATCCTAGCACTTCAAGGTTTTGTACATAGAATTTTGTTTAGTGTGACTACTCAATATGTGTACTCACAATTAATTTGGTGATTTTATTTTACCTTCATGATATATATATAGCCAATAGATCAAAGCCTAGTCATTACGGCCGGCGTATAGCCCATGATATTGGTGGGGTGGAAAGTTCAACAATCCAAATGAGTGTATCATCACTAGAACCTTCACGTAGAGCTCATGATCTAGAGCTGGTATGAACTTAACTTAAAATTTGACAATTATAATATATGTGCATGAAATGCTCTTCCTAATGTTCATGTTTTTTTTTTGCGCGGGCATTTCCTTTGGTTGTTGCAACACATTTACTTATAGCTCGTGAATGGCCAGTTGAGTGCCTTGGCATGATATATATATATATATATTGAGGAATATTGGCTTAGATGCCCTATGATATCTACAATTCATTCATTTACATCATATCCTAATTATAACTTTGGTTAAGAGATGGTGTCCCTTGACGAACACCTTCCACTTCAGAATTGGTTAGATAATGATCACACTTTAGGATGTCTAGGTGATACATGGTCTTCGAGTTGATGGGCCTATTGTAGTGGGGTCAAATATTATTGGTGAAGGTTGTCATTGGGCTAGTTGACCTGATTGTTGAGACGATCTTCTTGGTACACATCCAGGATGGGAGACAGTTTATCATGCACATGGAGATGAGGATGACATGGCCACCTTTAGGATGGGTACCACTCAAGTCAAGTAGATGCTCATGCATTGATGGCTCTACTTTTTTTTTATAATGACTCATACGATGAATTAGCACTCGGACCTTTCTTGCAGCATGTACGAGCATATATTATATTTTATGATGGGATGTTTTCTTATATTAAACACATCACAGTCGCATATATCATTGCAATGATTGCCCTTGCTTATAAATGTGGTCATGTTTGATAGAATGTCTATTAGCAGTATGGTCCTAAAACATATTTATAGAGAGATGCATAATACAGCTCACCCAATATGCACGCACACCGATGGATGGGTTGCACAACTTCAAGTGTGATTTTGGGAGATGTTGCATGTTGGAATACATTTGGTACGAAATAATTGTTAACCTCATATCTAACTAATTATGCATATCTTCTATGCGGACTACTGCATACAGTCAGGGGTTGTCATGGGGAGAATGCTAGTTCTTTGTAGTTGGCCGTTGACCAAGTTGGGATCTATCAACAAGAATTTAGATATTAATTTACATAGATTACAATACTTTTGACACCACCAAGGAGGACCAGGTCTATTTTAGGAAAGATGATATAGCTTTAAATCAAGTTCAGGACGTCATATGTTCAACCTCTAAAGCTCCCTCGAGATCGACAAGCAACTACCACTGTCAATCGATTCTTCTGAACCTTGGAAGGTCATCCGGCACCCCGATCCACAATATGTAGAATGATCCACCTAGGCATTCCATTTATATGCCCTCTACCAATAATGACATGATAGGCCCGTAACCTTCCTCATAGCATTATAACCCGTACGATGCGTAGGCTAGTGAGCCAACAAATGTATACTATGACAGTCAATCCCAACAACCTCCTAAGTATTAATTGTTTCCCATGGCTATACCAAAGTGGAAGTCAATCCCAACAACCTCCTAAGTATTAATTGTTTCCCATGGCTATACCAAAGTGGATGTCATCTGTTGGGTTGTCATTTTCTCCCTTGCAACATGATATACTATTATTGGGAGGACAAACATCATAGCAGTATGCACAGGTTTAGGAGCATAAGGAGGTAGTTGAGGAGTCACAACTTCAAAGATAAAGATGAAAAACCCCAATTTGATATACCCCAAAGAGTGGTGCTTTTCCACATGTTGGTAGAAGTACAATTATTTTCTAGTTCTAGTATTTCATATGTATGAATGTACCTACACTTATATTTCAATTTAAAATAAATTTGATTTTGGAACAGCAAGACTCTTAGTTTTTTTGGATGTTTGAAAAAGATTCCATAGTTCAAGTTGGTCTCCAGTAGAGGGTGTCAATTTTTGACCCGACCCGAAAAAATCCGGGTTAGGGTCAACCCAGACCCGAAACGAGTCGAATTCAGGTTTAACAAATCAACCCGTTTTAAAAATCGGGTCAGGTTCGGGTTGACCCAGCAACCCAAAATTGACTCGAAACTCCTATTTGACATGAAAACCCGAGATTGACCCTAAAATTGAAAATTGACCCGATTTTGACACGAAATCTAGCAATTTTAGGTCAATTTTGGGTCATTTATGTCTGGTCGGGTTGACCCGGACCCGAATGGTGTCAGGTTTGGGTCTAGAAACCTGACCCATTTTTAAAAATGGGTTAGGTTGGGATTGACCCGAATAATGCTGGGTCAATTCCAGGTTCGACCCAAACCCGACTCGTTGACCCGAATTGACACCCCTAGTCTCCAGTAAGATATTAGCTTTACTAAGCATAAAAAATAAAATATAAAATACAATAGAATAAAACATATAAAAAGTACACAGCTTTATTATTTCCTAAGCAATATACACGAACATGCTGGGAGTTGTGTTTCAGTTGGACAGTACTTGGAGTTAAACTCAAACACATATTAAAGATCTTACAAAAAATTTCTTTACTTGTCTTCAGGTAATAGCTCATTCATCCAATTGTAATAGAAATCTAAAATGAACTCATCAAATATAGATGTCCAATAATGATATAAAATTGGATGTTCAATGTCAAAGTTGTTGCTGTCAACATCTGGTGAATGATCACCTTCTCTCTCACGTTGCACCTCACAATATTTCATCTAAAAAAATGAGGATTGACGAGATGACAATTTTCTTTCAAAAATATTATTTGAAGATATTTATAACATGTGACATTTAGAAAATCTCTCGTCTTATAAAGTTTTACCTTTATTACCTCAGCATGTACATTGCAAAGTGCACCATCCTTCCAATCATTTATGGATACAACACCTAAACATCTCGTTCATATTTATCTTTTACTCCAACAGACAATCACTGACCTGTGCTATACAAGCATGCATTTTTCCAGTTGCATTATCAAACATTTTTTTATTAGGAATGCATCGAATCCTTTTCATACATGACCAATACATTTTGAATATCTAAACTCAAAGCTTCATAAATATACTTGATATGTGAATGCACCCTTTAAATATCATAGGTTGTACGTATCCTATCTTCACATACAACTAAAAATTACAATATTACTTGATTGAACTTTACATCTTAACATGTCATCTGATATGATAAGTTGTTACAATAAACATTATATTAATGAATAATGAGACAAACTTAAAAGAATCTAATGCTCTGAATAAAATTTAAAAAGAGAAATTCAAAGTCCACAATAACTAAAACTACTAATAAATATTATTTGATATTATTATTTCAAAATATTAATATTTTATTTACTAATAAAATATTAAGATAGAATTATATGACATCATTAATTAAAATAATTATTCAGGTAAGTTTAAATTAACAATTGCATAATATATAATTAAATTTCTTATTACATAAGTAAAATTAATTCTCATCTAATTACATACTTAAACTAGGTATTACATAATTACAAATCGAGTAACACATAATTATATATCTAAATTTTTCATGATATAATTATTCTTATAACTAATTATCATATAATTAAAAGTTAGCCAACAAACTCAAATTAAAATTAACGTGCATTAACCTCTCACATGACAGAACCGCCTTTAATTAAAATTAAAATTATTCTTATAACTAATTATCATATAATTTTAGACCATAAATAAAGCGGTAAAATATTTTCAAATTGCTAAACTCTGTGAGAAGAAATTTTTTTTCAAAAAATAAGGATGCTCGGTAACCTCACCGGACATACGGTGGCTCCCTGCGAAGTACCAGAGAGGATAAAAGCAGCGGTACAGCCCCGCCTTTTCCTACGATTCTGTTCCCGAAAATAATGTTGGAGCTCCTAGCCTGAAGCCCTCACAATCTCTCTCCTCGGCCATTCTAATTACTACCTTTGTTTACGTTAGGTTTTGACATTTGAATGATCGGGGAGTGAGGCGGTGGCGGACGGGGGAAAGAAGTCAGGTAATAAATGGCCGATGATGGAAACTCCGAGAACGATGACGAAGAACTCGTTGAATCAATGGGTAAGTTGCAGGAGATGCAGAGCGAGTTAGAGATGGTAATTGATTCCCTGCTGGTTCTTGGCTTATTTTTTCTTTTGTTTATTTATTATATTGATTTTTATGGGATGTTGGGGGTATCATAGCCTGATGTCTTATTTCTTTGTACGAGTAAACCGCTTCTCAATAGGCTTGCTGCTCGATTTCATATAGGTTATACGGAGACTCGGATGGTTTTGTAGATGTTTTCAAGAAATGGATTCATCTCATGGAGTACCATATTTTTCTAGATTAGCTCTCCGCTCATTCTTTTTGGAATTATTGGGTCTGAAGCGGTTATTGAGGGTATCTAGGCCCTTATAGTCTTTAGGGTTTTGAGAATTGGTAGGGTAAATTATCAATTAGGAAATCAACTAGATTTTTTTCTTTATTTACGTTAAAGTATATTGCAGTATATGCCACATATTCCGGAGATCTGTTTTTGTCTGTAATTCTTTATTGGAATGCAAGATAATTTGTTAAATATTTATAGCAGATAGGTTAGTCACATGCAGCATATTATATATGGTAAGGACAAAACAGGGTGAAATTTTTTCAAGAATCCATGTTTGTATCGTGCATACGGAAGCTAGTTTTTCTTAAGAACAATGGATTGAAAAATCAAATTTGCTGAGCAAATGAGGAAATGTGAATGGTTGATTCTTTAGATTTTCCATTAAGGAGACAGATATGCGAAAGATTGAAAGAAACTATGTGAAAGCTGTTGTTCAATCTATATAGCTTGGTTACAAGATGTGAAAGCTTCGGAGAAATTTTCTATAACTGTGAGCTAGTTATTTTGATCGTTCTGATATTGCTAAAAAGTCAGGCAAAAGGAACATGGTGTGTGTGTGTATGTATATTATAAGCATAAAACCAGCCTCTCTTGCAATGCAGGTAGGAATGCCTGCATCCTTTGACCTTGCAATTGCAAAAGCATCATGCACTTGGTATACAGTTTTGCATATGTGGCTTGTGAGTTTTATTCTTATAAATTCTTATTTTATTTTAACAAGGATATTTGTTTGATATCAGTACACCAGGATATATCTTCAATCAACATTTTTTTTGGTTCAACGAGTCTAATTTTAGTTATTATTTTAAATATTAAACGACGCTTTTGTATAGCTTTGCCTTAATACGGACTTGCACTACCATAATGTCAAGCAATGTGAACAGACATTAAACAAGCCCTTCTTTGGCGGTCTTCTAAAGTTAACTATGGTCACTTAATAACTGAAAATAACTTAAACGTATCAAGGATAAGCACTGGGATTTTATTGTTTGGACTTGTGATTGCATTTGACTCTCGTTTCCACACACCCCCAATTAAAGTAATAATGTAGAGTGTAAAGTGGAATGTATCATTCTATTTTTGTATTTTTATTCTTAAGATGTTATTGGAAGTGTTGACTTCCATGTTCGTCTTATAACTAATTTGAGCATGTGTGATAAGAAGAACAATCGATTGATGCATGTGAAATAAGTGCGAAGCACCTCAGATACGATCAAACTCACCTAAATGTCGCTCATTTGCAAAGATGATAGCTCTGAAGCTTTTGAAGCACCAAATTATAAAAAGTATCTATCACGAATATTGAGACTTCCTCAAATTTGCATTAATTGCAAAGATTTCATTTTCTTTCCATCTAAAAACATTTTTTATAATTCTTCTTCACTTGCCCCCTAAGCGATCAACATTAATTTGTCTCGTACACACTCACATAAGGCGTCACTTGACAAAAAATCCTTATTCACTCTAATCAAGGCGGATCATCATTTTCCAACTAGTGGTGTGTTGGAAAAATTTTCTCATCCTCAACGGATTGAGACATTTTGTGATCGAGCACGACATGTAAAATATTATATTATCCCGAATGATAAAAATATCATCTTGCTATGGATTCAATAACAAAACTCACAATTTTAATTTTAACAGAGATTTTCCACATTAAATATTTGGTTGAATATGATTTATTTTATTATGGGATACATATGTTCATAGGGGTAAGCTTCTATGGTTAATTACATTTCAAACATTTGTTGCTTGAAAATACTTTTGATTAAACTAGTTATTTCTTCTTGAGAGTTATCAAAATATTGACTAATTTTTTTATTTTGAAATTTATGAAATTATGTTCAAAGATTTGATTTTTTGGAACTTCAAGGGTAATGGGATCAGCTTTAAATCAGATTAAAATTACTAGTTAGATAAAAAGTGCTATTCTCTCCAACAAAGTTACAAAAAATATGTTGGAGAAAATTTATTATCCTCAATAGATTGAGACATTTTGTGATCAAGCACTGCATAGAAAATAATATATTTCGAATGACAAATATCATCATGTTATGGATATAATAATAAAATTGATAATTTTAAATTTAATAGAGATTTTCCCCTATTAATTATTTGGTTGAATAATGTTTATTTTATTATGGGGTACAGATACCTCATAGGGACAATGCCTATGGTTAATTAAATCTCAAACATTTATTGCTCGAGAATATTTTTGATTAAACTAGTGATTTCTTCTTAAGAGTTATCAAAATATTGGCTATTATTTTTTATTTTAAAATTTATAATATTCTTGTTCAAACGTTTAGTCTTTAGGAATTTCAAGGGTGATGAGATCAATTTTAAATCAGATTTTAAGAATGAGAGCTGAAGAGAGGAAGATGTAAGTGCACTTGATTCTGAGAAATTCAGAGGTGCTCAAATTATCTTATGTTGAGATTTATATTTTACATTTTTGTTCAAGTTGATTAATTTGATTTAGAATGTTATGTCTTATATTTCAACAACATATGTTGAAGGAAATGCTCAGAATGTGAGGGTTTATAAAGTGATTGTAATTCAACAACTTCAGAATTAGAGCTAATGTGAGGAGTATTGAGGGGTAGTGCCTTGAACTTAAGTGTAATGAATTGCAAGGGACATACAAACCTACACATGTCCAGAATATCCCCAAGCAAAAACAAGTGTTATAAAATTTAATTGTGTCGTAAGAGCCTATCGTACAACACATGTCCAGGCCACACCCAAGCTAAAACAAGCGAACAAACTTAAGAAAAAGTAGGTATTTTTAATGTACACTCAGTAAACAATCAAATTTGTGTGTATATATAAAATCAACTAGAAACAACAACAACAACAACAACATCAAGCCTTTATCCCACTACGTGGGGTCGGCTACATGAATCCTTTTTCTCCATTGTGTCCTATTAAAAGTCAAATTCTCGTTTAAATCTAATAAAGAAAGGTCATCCTAATCTTCTCTTATACTGGAGCTACTCCAACCTTTTCATGTATATGCTCATTTCGTATCCTATCTCTAAGGGTAAAGCTACTCATCCACCTGAGCATTCTCATCTCTGCCACACTTAACTTAGTATTATGCTTCTCTTTTAAAGGCCAACATTCGGCACCATAAAGCATTGCAGGCCTCACTACCATCTTATAGAATTTTCCCTTAAGTTTGAGTGGTACATTTCTATCACATAACAAGCCCGATGCATTCCTCCACTTCAACCATCCAACTTGAATTCTGCTGATAATATCCCCATCTATTTCACCATCACTCTGAACAATAGAAGGGCTAATTTTAAAAACGAGCGTGTTTAAAATCTAATTAAGTAAATGAAGCATGATTATTAAAAATTTTAAAAAGGAGTCAATTTGCCAAATTATTTGGCGCAATCCTAAACACGCCAAATGGTTTGGTGAGTTCAGCATGTGCTAAATCATGTGTTACGATCAAGTCGTATATATTACTACCAATTGGGCTGCGTTGGTAAGAGCCGCTATCCTCAATGGTTAGTCGTATGTGCGATCTAATATGCCCTTTCATTGGCCCGTTTGCGAGGAGCGCAGAGGTCTGCGATCGTCTCTATCCCTCGGGGTGGTACAGTTGTATACCCTCTGCACTCTGCAACTGAGCGGTGTCCTTTCGGAGGTCTACAAACTAATTTAATCAAAAAATTTAATTGAATTAGCTCTAGGAGCATTCACCCTACATAAGCCTAGGGCCAATCAGAAAACTCTTTAGACGTCGGCCCTACTTCCAAAAATTGATCTATCTACCCATCTTCCATAAAGAGTGGACAACATGGAGTTTACGCGTTTAGGTGGTTAGCTGGTTTTCCTTTTTAGGAAGGATATAAGCGCAGGTGTATTAGTTATGACATGGGTGTTAGTGTTGGGTGTAGAACACTAAACCCACATTATATTTAGGGTTTAAGGCTACTACATTCGGTGTCGCGTAGTATGTCTCATCAGCGGGTAAATTCCCTATTCTTCTGGGACTATAAATTCTGCTTATCCACGTCATGTGGATGCATCACCTCCATCCTTTCCCTCTATATGCTTCGAGTGCATAATTGTTTTTCTCTGACATCTTCTCTCTGTCTTAGTACCTTCGGATATTGTTATGAGCCGTGTTTGTTGACTAAGCCCACTTGAAACCTTTCTTCCCCCTTTGAGTAGTATTTCTTAGTCTCCCACTTTGTGTCAATCCCTTTTTTTAAGAATAATATCGGATCCTTAATCGAGAGTATTCTCAGGCTCCGGCCTGAAACAAAACTCCACCATCAAATAAATCCAACTTGAGCTGATGTATCGGGTAGGGGAAACCCGTTGTTTCGATTAGGTTGTATATATTACTACCCATCGGGGTGCGTGATCGAGAGCCGCTATCCTCAATGGTTAATCATATGTGTGATGTAATCTGAGACCCTTCCATTGGCCCGTTTGTAAAGAGCTTGGAGGCCTGTGATTGTCTCGTCCCTCGGGATGGTGTGGTTGTATACTCTCTGTACTCTGTTTTCCTCACAGTTGTACACTTTCGGAGGTCCACAATAGTTACCATCATTTTGTCACAAAGAGGTATATTATGAATATGGGAGGGAAAAGAGTCTTATTAATTTAGAAACTATAAGCTATGCTATGTAGCTAAGAGCTTGATGATTACTTTCTACTTTATAAAATCTATAAATATATTGAAGCTAGAAAGCTTTAATGCCACCAGATCCGCAACATATGTGCAAGTGGACAGAAGGCGTTTGTAGGCCCTTAAATGAAATCTCGGGCATTTTTATAAAATAAAATCACTTGCGTAAATTGATCATATTTAAATATTTTAAAATGACATTTATGTATTAAATATGATCTCTTAAACTGAAGCCCAAACCCTGCATGTGCTCTGACAATGTGCTATGACAATCTTGTTAAATTTGCAAACACAAATGTCAGAGAATACTACGTAGGTCAAATGCACATTTTATATTTAAACTGAATATACCCCTGCATGTGCTCTGACAAATGCAATAAATTTCTAAACGCCAATGTCTGAGAATGTTGCGCAGGATCAAATGCTCAACAATATAAAGTTATATTTTCAAACTAATTACATCTCTGCATGTGCTCCGATCGTTACATCTGATTCCTAAATCTAACGATCCGAGAATGCTACGCGGGTCAAATATTTAAGTTTCATCCTCCTCATTGAAAGGATTGGAGTTGACTTGACTTAAATAATAAAATGCCTCCTAAAAACCCGCATGGACCCTGACGAGTGTATTATGAAAATACACGCGATGTCTATGGTTGCTGTGCGGGTCAACAAGTAAAGTCAATTATGAACCCGATCTTCTGTCGGCAAGTTGACAGTGTCAACAAGGTTCAATACACAAATGCAAATGCCCATATGTCACCTCGATGATGTCCGTGTTGACAGAAAATCTCAATCGGAGGGGTCAAATATCAAATCCAACAAAAGCCTAAATTCTTGAAATAAAATCTATCAACTGAAAACTTAAAACTTAAAACTAAAACTCATCCACCTCCCATAACCTTTTGTTGGGGGTAATAAATTTGAAATTAACATCAGCTCACAAAGAGCGAATGTTGTGTCGGATGTATCACTACGATTCATTCTCAAATAGTCTCTTGACAGTATTCAAATAGTCTCTTAACAGTAGAGATGTGGCACGTGCCCTTTGATCGGGTGGTTTTGCCGCAAAATAGTATCATTATATTACGATCACGACCAAAGCCCGTATGTTCCCTAACGGCGTCAAACCCTTGAACGATGAATCTTATGGTATATTCGATGGGCATAAAGCTCTTTGTCAGCTAAGGTGGATTCAAATATATACCCTTAGACAAATATCAACCCATGTCTACAAGGTATTTTTGGACGAAGCAACCCATGACTGCCGATAAGATACTTTCTGTCAGGTTGGGTCGACTACCTCCTCTGACTAAGTAGACCAGGGAACATGACAGCCCGGGACTAGGGGTGTAAGTGAGCCGAGCCGGCTCGCGAGCCGGCTCGAGCTCGACTCGTTTATAGGCTCGCGAGCCGAGCTTATCGAGCTCACGAGTCGAGCTCGAGCTCGTTTAGTTAACGAGCTCGAGTTCGAGCTTGACGAAGCTCGGCTCGTGAGCTCGCGAGCCGGCTCGAACTAATGTTTATTTTTTTTAAATCAAATATTCACAACAGGTTATTAAAAATATTTTAAAAATCAATACCAATAAATGCTAATAAATGAAAAACAGCTTTTTAATTATAAAATAATAAAACTTTTTTAAAGAAATATATATTTAGTCTAAAAGCTGCTGAAGAAGCAGCCTTTTTCTTTTCTAATTAATGCTAAGTTGGCGTTGCTGCTCACGCAATCTCTGCTCCAGCAATTTGAAACGGGCGGATTTCCCAAAAAAAAAAAGAAGCGGTAAAATCAAAAGCAGGCGGGAATGTTAGGAACGAAAACGAGCGGCTCGCGAGCGGCTCGATAAGCTCGATATAGTGTTGCGAGTCGAGTTCGAGCTCGATTTTTGAGCTCGACTCGAGCTCGAGCTCGAGTTCGAGCTGGGTATTCGACTTGCGAGTCGAGCTCGAACACCCCCTGACTCGAGCTCGACTCGACTCGTTTACACCCCTACCCGGGACGACTTAACCATGAGATCTTGATCGGGCTTGTCTTCATTCCCCCACCACCAGTTTAAGTTCAAATTCAAATCTTAAAATTATTGATATTATACACTAGATTTACAACCTATGTAACCTTTTTAACAACTAGCCTTAATTGAAAGTTCTCTCTTGTTATCGGGAGGGGTAATTAAGTATAAGGATTTGCGCCTATAGAAAACCAGAACTCAGATAAAAAAGTCCTCATAAAATGAGGGCGAAATCTCTGGGTAGTCTCTTATCTAAAACCTAATATGCTTTCTGAAAATTTACCTAGAACCTAATCTCGTTAAAGCTCTCTGTCGTCGTCACAAACACTTAAAAGAAAAAGAAACCGATGGCGTGGAGAGGCCGCGAAGTGACATAAATGGAATTTTCGGAGCCCACAGATTTCTAGCGACTCCGTTGAGGATTGGTTTCTCTTTCCATCTTTGGCTAATCATACATAAATTATAATAGCAATAAAATTATTAAAATTCTAATAAATTCATTAAGATTAGGGTTTTAAAATATTGCAATCAGATAAAATTTATTATATATATTATTTCATTCTCTGTAGTCTCTGCACTTTGAAAGTGTGGGGTGATGTATCAACTTTCGAATACTGACCCTTTCATTTCATTCGTGCAGAATGGAACTACAGAATACTCCCTTCACCGTCCAACTGGGACGAGGCACCAGCATTCAGCTAGCTAATGCTGTCATCAATACTGGAGACTCTGAAGCCACCATCCAATTTGGTAGCTTAGAGTTTTCTGCAGCTACTGCAAAGGTTGTCGTCGTACCTATTCACAACATAACTGTTCAAGGCCATCCTACGAGGTCTGATTCTACTGATACTTATGCACAACGTGCTTATTCCGTGCCACAACCACGAACTGTTAGAATTGCTACTGCTAAAATAGTTCAACAAAACAGGACCTCAGTTTTCGAGAGGCTCTCTCACCCTGAAATTTTAACTGTGAAAATGGCTGATGTCAAATAGAAGACTTTGTCAACTAGGTTATCTGCACCCAGGAAGGATGATGCTAAAGCCTCCTTATCTGGAGGAAGGCTCACAAGAAGGCAAAGGAGAAAGTTGAATACAACTTCAAGGGAGTTAGAAAGCGTTAGAGGAATGCACGTGTTATAGAATACAACTTCAAGGGCTAACTTCGTTATGTCTTCTCCTGCATTAGAGCATCACATAATGGGGAATCAGTAGAGAGATAACTTCCTAGTTGTAGGAAAAGTTTCAGAATAAGTAAAGAACAAGATGTTTAGAAGACTTTAGTTGATTAGTTGTATTATATTTAAGTTGCACAATCTGTCTTAGTGTGAGGTCATGCCTTCATAGCATTTCGGGCAAGGATATGACTAATTCAAGGTTACAAAATTTTGCTGATGCATACTACTTCAGAGTGGTATTTTTGTGCCAAAAAGGTCTCTTAGTGGTATTCAGTTTAGGTGTCATCTTGGTTTGATGAGATTTGATGGCGGTATGCCATTTTGGGCTTTGGCTACTTAGATTGCTCTGCTTCGAAAGGGAGAGGAATTCATTTTTTTCCATAATATTGAGTCAACGAGGATAATTGTTGTTTTTTCTCAAATTATAGGAATTTTTTTTAATACGGTTGTAGACATTTGGGCCTTCTAGGAATTGCAAATCTTGATTATTGCAGTCCATGTGCTTCAATTTTAAGCCGTTTTGGGAATTCTTAATGCCTTTCTTTATCAATTTTTATGTGTGAAGGTCTCATGTAACTATATACAGAGGATGACAACTAGTTTTTGAGAAAAAAAGGGCAATCTAAAGATTTCTCTTTTTCCTCTCATGGCCTCTCGGTGTTTAGGTCTTTGGGTGATTGGCAGCTTCAATGGCACATGCTAGATGAAGAAGGCTTGTGGGTAAGGTAATCTATTGGTTTGTGTTCTTGGGTTTCTTCTTTTTCTTATTGAAAGTGGGTAGGCTTGGGAATTTGGGAATTGATGTTAAGTGCTTTTATTATTCACATCATGATCGTAGATTCTTTGTTTTGTGGATTAGATCCTCTCTCATCTTCTATGAACACAGTAATGGTCGAAGCATAATTATGTAAATATTGGTCTTTCCTTTTTGTTTCTTTTAACTTTATCTTTTATAATGGTTTGTAGCACAACATGCTCAATATTGGCGACTCTTCTCATTTCAAGTTTTTTATGCCCCAGTATATATATATATATATATATATATGTTTTACTATAGTTAATTATATATTTATCAAACATGTCAAGTATAGTCATTTGTAGATTGACGAGGAGGAAAGAATCAAAATTATGAAAGTGAAACGCAAATACAATGAGTTTCGCAGAGGATTATACGATAGACGAAATCACATAATTCAATCCATTTCAGGTTTTTGGGTATCAGCGGTTCGTATTCCATTAATCATTCTCTTTTGATTTTAGTGTCTTCAACTACACCTTTAATAAAACCATACATCTCTCTCAATATATATATTCCTGATATTATGAATGCTGCAGTTTCTGAATCATCCTGCAATCGCTGGCAAGTTAAGCGAAGAAGATGAGAAGGTATGGCATCATGCTTGAATTTTCTTATGTTAAAGGAAATGTTATGTCTTATCCTGCTTTCTTGGGGAATGATGGTTTACATATCGTTCGTTTGCTGGCATTGTCTTTAATTTGCTTCTTTGAGGACCCAAGTCATAATCTGGATGTTCAAGCTATTGAAGCTTATGAAATTTCATGCGTGCACCATTTTCTGTTGAAGGCCATTAATGCTAAGATTTTGATTTCTTTCTTTCTGATATAGATATTCAAGTACATGGTTTCATTAGAGGTTGAAGACTTCAATGATGAAGATTCAGGCTACTCCATTACATTTGTAGGTGCCTTCCTTTTTAATTGCTGAAGAGAAGTCTATTGTTTAATGCATGCAATTAACTTCATTTGTGATTTTGATGGTCAGAACTTCTTGCCCAACCCATTTTTTGAAGGCACAAAGCTGACAAGGGCTTACTTTATGCCTGATGATAGAACGACCAATGTAACTAGCACAAAAATAATTTGGAAGGATGGCAAGGCAAGGGCTGTACCTTCTTGGTGTATTGTGGACTTTATTTACAAATATCATGTCTAATGCATGCTTTTAACAATGTTTCAAGAATATTGATAGTGGCTCTGCTCAGGAAAGCAAAGGCGTCAAGCGACGCATTACTGATCGTAGGTATCATTCTGACTCTCTCTCTCTCTTTCTCTCTCTCTCTCTCACTCTCTCTCCCACACACACATATGTGTGCACATAATCCTTCTTTTGCTCTCTCTAGTTTGCTTTTCCCCTGATGTTGGCTGCCTCATGTCCAGCTGATGCTTAATTGCTACTGATTTTAGTTTATGATTATTATGAAATTTTTACCTTTTGTAACTCTGGAAGTTGATTGGGACACAGCTCTTGTTGCAAAAAGTGTGATACCACAACCAACTCATATTCTTCATTCTGTTCATAAATCTGATCTGAAACACTAACTGGAGACGCATTGATTTTCTTTTTCCAAGCAAGAGACATGAATCTATGTGATGAGTAGAAGACAGGAGGAAAAGGCTTCTATTTTAAGTGAAAAAATGAAAAAAAGAAAAAGAAATGCAATGCTTCTGTCATACACAAACACCAAATTTTCTTAGCATGCCTTTTTTGGAAGCCAGTTGCGTGGTAATGCCTTTCACTGCCTGTCAGTGAATTCACCTTTTTAATTGGACAAAATATTTACTGGTTTTCATGCTCTCGATGCAGCAATGACCTACATGTATTAATCTATTTTTGAAAAACGATTAAGATGAAGTGTAGATTGCCTAAATTTTGTTTTGAACAATCCCACTTAAAAAATAGCGTTGACACCACTGGATGTATATGGAAACATATATAGGTCTTGTTTATACTTTGTTTTCTTGTTAGTGCAATGTTTGGTATCTACGCCAATCCCAAAAAGCTGGGATAAGGCTTATGATGATGATGATGTACTGTTTGATATCCTTTTTGTTTTGGTCATATAGTGGCTTGATATATAGGCGCTTTTTCCCCGCGTTGAAAATTCCGATTTTTTTTTTGTTTTCTATGAATACTTTTCAACCCGTAGAATTTCACTCTAAAATAGAATTAACTATTCGCGGAAAGTCATTGTTTTGTCCCTTCACATACAATGAATGAGATGCATATACTTGAGATCATCAGTACCAGGATAATGTTTTATTACACATTAAAAAAATTTTATGCATTCTACACCAGCTGTCGCATGTAACCAAGTTTTAGAAGTACTTTTCTGCTTTACAGTCTGAAATTATCTTTCTCTTATACTGGCATTCACGCCACGTGCTATTTGATTTTGCAGTTTCTTTAAATGGTTTGATGAGGAACCGAGAATACTTACAAATGGCGTAATTGATGAGGTTAAATTCAAAATTGTTAGATTTATTTCTGTTTCTTGTCCTCTCTGCAATCTAGCACTTCTAAGGGGATACATGCCACTTCACTGTAGTTTTTTTGCATTCCATCATCATCCAGTGACAAGAATATATGCAGATGGCTAGGGTAATCAGCGAAGAACTGTGGACCGATCCTCTAAAATATTTAAAAAATGTTGGTTTTCATTATCTTTTCATACTTACATTTTCTCTGCAATTATTGGTTTCATATTTTGATATCTTTATTGGCCTTCTAATGTTTGTTGTTCTTTTTATCTTGATTGATGCAGGAAGCTGATGTGGATGTCAATGGGGATGGTATCGATGATGATAATGATCATGATGATAAAGTATATTATTTTTTGTTATTATCAATTTAGAATTTGTTTAAAATTATTGTAGGTTGAAGTTGTTATCATACCTAAATTAGTGCATCATTTAAATTATTTATAGTAGTAATGTACACAATTTATTATAATATAAGTTTTTCTTTCTTTAAGAAACTCTTTTATATGTTCATATATCATATTTTTGTTAGCATTGTAATGGTTATATTTTTTTTGGCTTGATTGATACAGGAAGATGATGACAAAAATTTCAATGGGAGTGATGGTAATGATGCTGATAATAATCATAATGATGAGGTATATCATTATTTTTGTCATCAATTTTTAACAATTTTTTTAGATCAATGTAGTTTATAGTTGTTACCATATCTAAATCATCACATCACAGGAATATTCACTATTTATTATTATAATATTTTTCATCACTAAGGATATTTATTTATATTATATTTTTCCTTGCTAATATCTTTGTTGTTGTTGCAATGTTTATTGTACTTTTTGGCTTGATTGATGCAGCATGGTCATGATGAGGTATATTATTATTTTCGATATAATGTTTAATTTATTTAGGATTATTGTAGGTTACATCTGTTATTGCAGCTAAATTATCTCATGTCACGACCCGGTCCTGCTAGCCCGATAATAACGGGGCGGGAACAATCGGTCATACGGATAACATATATAAAACATAAACAATTTCATTTAAAACTTTAATGTTAGTACATAAACATCATCTAATTATATGAAAGAGCCACTAATAACATCAAACTCAATTGTTCCAAATTGTTTCTTCTCACACAACTACTAAAACATCAAACCACTATTACATAAACTTCAATAGCTGTTCATACACAGGTACATACTACTGAACTCAAACTCAAACTCAACAAAAAATACAAAAAGAATCTTTCTTCCTAAGGTCTCCTATGACGATATGTCTACGATCGTCGTGCAACCATCACTTCTTAACATTTTCTCCTGAAAAATATTTCCAAACGTAGGATGAGCTTACTCGTACAACATGTAGTTCATGTCTTTAGATAAAAATTTACATAAAACCAAAATAAAGCAGTTTTTTATATGAAAACATGAAAGGATTGTCAAACTTGCATAATTTCGTAACAATACATATAAGAAATATTTTTTTCATAACTTTTCCTCAATGTAAAACTTTTCATTTATCTTTTTCTTTTCTTAAACATCAATTTTCATACTTTGAAGAAAAACATAAAGAAATCAATATAATGCATAATGTCTTTAATATCTTTAATATCACCCGTCTCGGATGTGCCCATAATTTTTTACTGATCAGGCACACAGTCAAATTTTGGTCATTTCCTTTACCATTGGCTCTACGAACCTCCTTTACCATTTGACTCATTCAAGTCCCTTTATCATTTTGAGCACTCTGCATCAGCATGCACATTCTTTATTATACTTTTTTTCATTCATATGCGTATTGAAAAAACAAGTGTGAAAATAAAAAATTCATTCGTTCAAAGCATAAAAACATTTAATCTACTGAAAGCTTATTAATTTTATGACATAAAAGACTTGAATGTACATATTGCCAAAAATGTCGTATAACATGAAACTTTTCAACCATTTGCATTGAATAATAGAACGAAGCATAATTATGAATTTTTTACTAAAAACATGAATACCTACCTCAAACCAAGTATGTAACTTCTTCAAAAAGTCACTTTGACATAGCTTATCACTTTAACGATCACAACTTAAAATAATTACAAAAGAGACGTGTCACAATTTAATAATCTAATTCATATGTCTAAACCCTTCATTTTCCCCTTAATTATTCTTTACGACACTTAATGAATTTTAAATTAAATAAACTTTAATTTTCGGATTTAATTAAATCTTAAATTTTGGAAAATTACAAATCTTCAATTTTATCAAAATATTGCTCCAAAATTAATCTTTAACATATATTTATAATTATATTATTAATTTTCGGATTAAATTAATTATATAATTATAAAAACAAAATTTTCATTAAAAATCCAAATTCATATTTTAAAAACATTCTTAATGTCCTTAGGAATACTTTTTGTAAAAACATTTTTAAGGAAATAAAATTTTGTGAAAACCCTAACTTTCCGATTTTCAAAATTTCCTCCTAAAATCTTTATTTCTATTGTTAAAAAGCTCTCCTAATCATTCCTTATTCATTTCTTAAAGAAAATTTGGAAGAAAATGAGAATTTGAAAAAACCCTAGAAATTTCTTTTCCAAAATACTTGAGATCTAGAGAGATTCGTTTTGAAACAATTGTACCTTAAGGTTCCCCTCATCGTCCTCTTCGATTCGCACTAATTTCTTTGTCGGAAAATCGTCGCCGGAGTGCCCGTCGCTGAAGCCCCGCCGCACGTTACGTCCTAATCTATTTCGGCATTAGTACTTATGAGGGGTAAAATTGGCATTTATGGGACTAAATCAATTTTAATTTCTAAAATACACATAATTTAATATAAGTTCTATATATCAAAACGATCAGAATTTTGCGTAGGATTTTATAAAATTATTTCCATCAAATTCCATTAACTTCGAAAATTTCACTTAAGTCTCGTCGCGACGCGTCGAAAAGCGTGCGATGATTTACGCACATCGTTTCGGGTTTTACATCTCATTACATAATTATTTATAATAAATTTATTTGTTTATTATTATTTTTCTCATTATTGCAGAAATTCACCTTTATTAGTTTTCTCTTGTTCTTCTCTCTTTAGCTATATATAGGCACATATATATTTGTCCTCTAAAATAATTTAATAAAGATGTTCTTCTTTATAATTTTCTCTCCTTTCTAACATAATATCATAGCCAAAACTTTCTTTTTCTATCTTTCTTGCATCTCTCTTAGCTTTCTCGCATATCGTAAAAGAAACTCCTTCAACACTAATCATCACATGCATTGCCTTTGCTTAACCCATTAAAGAAAATTGTTGGTGTTGACTACCACTCACCTCTACTGACTTTATTGATATCTCGGTAAGTATCTTATTCATGCTTTCTCTAGCATGGATCTTGTTGTCGACTCCATATTCAATTTGTAATATATATATAATCTTTTATAGATTGGTCTCTTTTTGTGACACTTAACCTCTAGATAAAAAATCCTTAATTACATATTTCATCTATTATTTTTAAACTAAAGTTGGCATCTATGTTGCACCGATACAGATACGGCGACATGGATACGACACGATACGGATGCGGGACACTTCAATTCTTAAAAATACAGGATACGGGTATTGCGCGGACACATCATTATAATTTATTAATCATACATAAAAATTAAGAAAACAATCAAAGCATAATATTTAAAATTACAAAAAAATGAAAGCAACATGACAACATCATTTGTAGCTTATAATATCAAATTACAAGTAAGCATTAAATGTCTAGTACAACAACAAAAGCATAAACATAAATTGTATAGCACATGAAGTTTTAAATATTTAATAGAAGAAATGATATGATTAGTTTCTTTAGTTGTTTGTCTTTGAACTTCTATATCATCTTCAATAAATATCATAGCTTCTAATTCAGGCTCATCAAGTATAAGATTAGCAATTTCTAATATTCTCATATCATCAAGAGACTCTAATCCATCTAAAAAATGAGAGAACCTCACTCGCAGCCGCGGAAGTAAATACGACGCGTCTTTTTTTGCTTTTCAATGGACATGCGTATCCTTTTGAAATTAAATAGTATTTTAATTGGATAGGGCAAAGTCGTATCCGACACGTATCAGTGCCGTATCGAAGGTGTATCGGTATATCAGATACAACACGCCTTCATAAATAGGTGTATCGGTGCAACAGAGGTTGACATGTTCTACATTGTCTTGAGTTTGTGAGGTAGTGTTATCATATCTAAATAATTATATGGCTTAAAGCATTTATAGTAGGAATCCACATTATTTATTATTGTAATATTTTTTTTCATGATTGAGGATATTCATCTTTATTATATCTTATGTCACGATCTGACCTGATATAACCAGACCACACACACAAGTCATACCATGCCCGATCGTGGCAAGAAGCAAAGATTGATCCCAAGACCGAAAGCCCATACTCGCAACCCTTCAGTGTCGACCTCACCCGCTCAAGCCTAGCTGACGTGTTCTTCTGCTCTAACCTAACCCAACTACCCTCTCTCATCTTAAAACCCACTTAAGTCAAGCCCGATCTCATATACCTGAACCGACAAAGCCCTAAACCCAACTCTCCTCCAACAGTATTCTAAAACCAACCCAACAACTCCCACTATTCCTACCTATTACTCCAACCCATTAAGCGGCCCAAATAGTTTATTATAGGTAAAATTTCCTTGACTCTCCACTACAAATAAAACCCACTATTCCTACCCATTACTCCAACCCATTAAGCAGCCCAATTAGTTTATTATAGGTAAAATTTCCCTGACTCTCCACTACAAATAAAATCCACTATTCCTACCCATTACTCCAATCCATTAAGCAGCCCAAATAGGTTATTATAGGTAAAATTTTGTTAAGGCATTTTTGTAATCACATTTCTTAGTAGATTGTTATTGATGTAATTACTATTAAGTTGGATAATAATAATAATAACAATTACTATTATTATTATTATTATTATTATTATTATTATTATTATTAATTAGATCTTATTATTTAATAATAGAATTAAAAAAAGAAGAAGAAGAAAAGGGAGCATTTAAAAAAAAAAAGAGAAAGGAAAATTAAAAAAAAAGTGTATTTTGTGCATTTTGCAAACTTTTATCGTCATCGACCCCGCCAAGCTCGCAAAGGTATAATTTTCTAACCAAAAGTCCCGCACTCGACGCTTGCAACGAGCCGGCGAACCTCTCTACCCATTCACGTAGCAAGGTGGGAGGGAAACTTGTGGGATACTTGCGTCGAGGCGGGTAAGCCTTGGAGCGCTCACGTAGCATATCGGGGATGAAAATTAAATACCCTTAAGCGCTCATGTAGCTTAGCGGGGAGAAATTGTGCTTTTTTAAACAGGTGCTCAGAGACCCTTAAACGCTCATGTAATATAACGGGGATCAAAGAAAATGCGGCCTCGGTGTCGCTCTACACCTACCTGAAGCGCTCATGTTGCGTGGAGGGGAAGGCTATGTCTCTTGGATTTTCTCTTTAATAAGGAGATGACGGGAGGCTGTCGAAATTCAGAACAAATACAGGAGACTTGGACTTGAACTTGGACTCAAGTTTGAACGAATAAAAATAAACTTCAACTCAATTGACTCAATTTTGAACGAACACTT